GGGGTCATGAGGGGGTGTCAGAGGGGTCACCAAATACCATCAGAAAACACAGTATTTTGTGTTGGGCATGGGGGTTCTTGTGTGGGAAGTTTGGCCCCATTCTATTGTTGGTGGGGTTCAGAATGCTCTGTGATTGTAGGTGAACTATAAATCCCAGCAACTACAACTCCCAAATGTCAAGGTCTGTTTCCCCCAATCATAGAATCATAGAATCAAAGAGTTGGAAGAGACCTCATGGACCATCCAGTCCAACCCCCTGCCAAGAACCAGGAGTACTGCATTCAAATCACCCCTGACAGATGGCCATCCAGCCTCTGGCCCAAACTCCACCAGTGTCCACATTTGGGCATTTTGAATATCCATGCCAAGTTGGTCCAGATCCATCACTGTTTGAATCCACAGTGCTCTCTGGATGTAGGTGAACTACAACTCCACAACTCAAGGTCAAACCCTTCCAATTTTTTTTTCCTATGGGTCACGAGTTTTGTGTGCCAAGTTTGGTTCAATTCCATTGTTGATGGAGTTCAGAATGCTCTTTGATTGCTGGTGAACTACAAATCCCAGCAACTACAACTCCCAAACGGCAAAATCAACCCCCCTCAACCCCAACAGTATTCAAATTTGGGGGTGTCTGGTATTTGTGCCAAATTTGATTCAGTGAATGAAAATGCATCCTACATATCAGGTATTTACATTACGATTCATAACAGTAGCAAAATTGAGGAACTGTGTTAAGGGGTTGTGGCATTATGAAGGTTGAGAACCACTGGGCTGGTTGCTCTCTCTCAGCCTCAGAGGAAGGCAAGAAGAAAATGCTTTGATAGGTTCACCTTAGGGTTGTCATTACTTGGGAATGATTTGAAGGCACACAGCAACAACACAAATCCCAAGTGCTGGGCTGTGTTACCATACTAGGTCAGCATCTTGGATAACTTCTTTAAAGTTTGGACTAAAACCCTGACTGATTCACTAGCTCACTAAACCACTAGCCTCTACTGAGAGGAGATATCCTGAGGTTTAATTTGTTGCAAACCAGGCTTCCCAGACCTGGTTGACTCCAAATGTGTTAAACTCTTTCTGGCTTCATTTCTAGACAGCATTGGTCATAGTGACTGGGATAATATGTGGTGTAATATATCAGGAGGATACCAGCTTGTGAGAGGCTAAGCCAGAATATGTCTGAGTAGAAGTGAAGATAATAGGGGTGAAATCTGAATTTAGCCGTGAAGCATTCTGTATGACGCTGGGCATGCTGCAGGGACATAAGACTTGTTTTGAAACATCTTGTCCAGAACGTTGTAATGTCCATAGCAGATTCGTTTCTTCATCTTAGGCAGCATTTGAGGTTAATTAATGTACATTAATTACAAAGCATGGAGCCAGTGTGGAATATTTTTTATTTTATTTACTGTATTTATATATATTGCCTTTCTTACCCCTGGGGGGATTCGGGGTGGTTTACAACATACTAGTGGCAAAAATTCAATGCCAACATACAGAACACAAAGAAGTCATAATAACTAATCTATATAAAAAGGCAGTTTTCCAGCTGTTAGGATTTCTGGGAGTTGAAGGCCAAAACACTTGGGGACCCACAGGTTCAGAACCACTGATTCAATTGATCAATGACCAGGAGATGAAGCCATATCCTAGAATCAGTTGACTATTGTTGTATACTTAGGGAAGAAGCAGGGGAGGAGGAGGAGGAGGAGGAGGAGTAGATGTGCCTCCAACCCATTTTAAAACCACTGTTAACACACTGACAGAGACATATGCTTGGATACTTGGATCTTGGCCAGTGTCTTTATATTGATAGTAGTTTATACTGATTGTACTGCATCTGGAGGCACCATAAGCCTGCATAAGCCTGACTGTTGCTTCTACAAGGTCCTCTGAGAAGAAGAGACATATGCCTGAATGTTCTGCTTGGCCAATTTGCATTCCTTGGCTTGGTTTGAAGTGTGAGGGAACACACTTCAAACCAGAGAGCATTACGCAGAGAGTGTTACAATAGGGTAAATATTATGCAGAGCTTGGAAAAAGGTCATTTCTGGACTCCAGCTCCACAATTAATATCATATACTGAGAAAGAGCATAACTGTATCTCACAGAAATATGTAAGAGTTCTGTGATGTCACCTCACGACTATATTGTGATGTTGTACAACTAAATTTGCATGTGTTCTGTGTAGTCAGTAAAAACCTCACATATGAGCAAGCACATGCAGTGTACATCCACATACAGTGCATGAACATGTGCAATGAACAACCATGTGTAGTGCATTCCATGCACCATTGTACTCTCGCAAACTTGAGCTTAATACAACTATTTTGTATTGTTCAACTACTTTCATAGGGGTTACATGTGTAAAACTGAGGACTTTACTGTTCAAGGTCTTAAAAATGAGTTCTGGCATTGCAGATCTATTTTGTTGAGAGCTGGAGCATGCAGGATAGTCACTCTTCTTACCATACCAGTCCTTGCTGCAAGAGCTTTAAGTAAGCTGAAAACACTTTTAGCTTACTGCAAAAGCTCAGGTGCAACTCTTCCCAACCTGTGCATTGCCTCTCTTCATCCCTTTTCTGGAAGAATTGCACAACTCTGAGAATTCACAATCATGTGGCTTCATCTGGGGGTCCTCCTGGACTCAACACTGACGCTTGATGCTCAGATGTTGGCGGTGGCTGGGAGAGCCTTTACGCAGCTGAGACTTGTGTGCCAGCTGAGACCATACCTTAAAAAGTCTGACTTGACTATGGTGGTCCACACATGAGTTACCTCAAGACTGGTTTACTGCAATGTACTCTACGTGGGGCTGCCCCTGAAGACGACCCGGAAACTGCAGCTAGTACAAAGATCAGTGGCCAGGTTAATAACCGGAGCAAACTACAGGGAGCGTCCAATCCCCCTGTTCAAACAGCTCCACTGGCTGCCAATAAGTTTCCAGTCTCAATTCAAGGTGCAGGTTAACACCTATAAAGCCCTGCATGGTTCAGGACCAGCTTATCTTCATGACAGCATCTTTCCCTATGAACCTATGTGATCCCTAAGATCTTCTGGGGAGGACCTTCTCTTGCTCCCACCTCCGTCACAAACATGGCTGGTGGGGATGAGAGAGAGGGCCTTCTTGGTGGTACCCCCCCCCCCCCCCCCCCCCCCCAGCTCTGGAACTCTCCCCAGGGAGAGTAGACTGGCACCCACCTTGTCTATCTTTTCAGAAAGAACTAAAGATGTGGATGTTCCACTGTGCCTTTGATTAGATAGTTCCCCAAATAGTTCTGGCTCCCAATTTGAGCCATAATGAGATCTTACACATTATCATTGCCCCCTTTAGAGACATAGTGCTTTCCTTATACTACTCCCTAGATACTAACCCTGTCATTTTTTCTTTAGCACTTTATCCATCAACCCTATCCTTTGGCAAGTGATTTGCACCAGTCACCCACCCAAACGCAGTACTGTGCACTATTCAGACTATTGAAGGTTGCTAGATGTTCACTATGTATTGTATTCTGTGGTTGTTTTATATTGTTTGAAATGTTTTTATGAATTTATTTATTTTTTAATTTTATTTAAGTAGACATACATTTACAAATAAAATGTTTTTTTTATGAATTTTGTTATTATATTTTAACTATGTTGAATCTTGGTCTTGTCCCCATATAAGCCACCTGAGTCCTTTTGGGGAGATAGAAGTGGAGTACAAAAATCAAGTTGTTATTATTATTATTATTATTATTATTATTATTATTCATCTCTTACATGAGTTTGTAATTGCACAGTTAATTATATCTGAATTATCAAAGTACACAAGCAATGTTCCTACAAACATTTCGAATGTTCATTAAAAATAAAGATGTATGCTGCAATTCCAGGCCTTTTCCAAGTTTGTGCCTTCTGCAAGGGATAGGTGTATTTATGACTGTCAAATCTTGTTTTGTCATTTATGAGCATACATGAGCCAGAATCTTTGAAAATTGCAAACAGTAATGAAATGCCTCATCAAGAATGGAAACCCCCATCAGTGCCTTGAATTATCTGCAGAGCTTTGTAGATACTTGATTTATGTGTTTATTTCGATAAAGGAAGCAAACAGGACGAAAGTTGGAAGTGGAGTGGACATGTGTTTTGGGCATCACTTTCAACTTCTTCACTTCCCCAAGTTATCTGGCCATTCCCAGGCTACTTGCTGTAAGTGGAATGGAGAAATGAAGCAGTTGAAAGTGATAGGTTGTTGTAGGTTTTTCCGGGCTATATGGCCATGTTCTGGAGGCAATTTTTCTCCTGACGTTTCGCCTGCATCTATGGCAAGCATCCTCAGAGGTAGTGAGGTCTGTTGGAAGTAGGGGCTAGGTGTGTAACCTCATACCTAGTCCCAGCAGACAAAAGTCCTTTGTCTCACCCTGGTCATTCCACAGATATATAAACCCATTTTTCCTACTTCCAACAGACCTCACTACCTCTGAGGATGCTTGCCATAGATGCAGGCGAAACGTCAGGAGAAAAATTGCCTCCAGAACATGGCCATATAGCCTGGAAAAGCCTACAACAACCCAGTGATTCCAGCCATGAAAGCCTTCGACAATACAGTTGAAAGTGATGCCCAAAATGCACATGCATTCCACTGACATCTACAGCAGTGCTTTTGACCTATTGCACCAGCTCAGTACACTTTGAAAGTGCTTTCTTCTGTCTAAAAATGGTAGTTCCTTGTTTCTTAAAAATGATGGCCTTACCATGAGTTGAAGACTGTTTTGAGTTGTCTTAACCACAATGTTGTGCAATCATGAGAACTTCCATTTGTAGTTAGGAAGCTCCTGATATGCACGGCAAGCTACATGTGATAATCTCCACAAACACAATTTCAGCCTCTACTTATCTCAACCAGCATGTAACCATGATGGCTAGTGAAGTGTATGTGTCATAGTCCACATAGTATACTTTCTAAAAGTGTGTCTAAAATACTATCTAAGATACCTATCCTTTTTCTCTTCATACAGGATGAACTGGCTGGCCAACGTTGGAAGCCCAAGCTCCAAAATCGAGGAGGCAAATTTTTCTAACGAAAGGGAGATCCCAAAACTTGACTTCGATTCATTCATCACAAGATATTAACCGAAAAGAACAACACTTGGTTTGGAATTTTCATCCTGCTGCTGTTGTATTATAGTTTCCACACTTCCTTAAAGTGCCAAAATTACTGCAAACTAGGAAACTGGAACAAATCTCTCAATTGTGTTTGGTAGAAATTGCAAAGTCAAACAATATAGGGGTGGGTGAATAGGACTTGATCTAAAAGTAATTTTAATGCATAAAGGATCCCCTAAATTGGGACTGATTCTGGTTTTTTGAAAAACTGAATTGCACCAAAATTGCATTTTGTCTGAGAAGGTGTTGAGATCAAGTAACAAATCAAACTTCTTTTCCAGGATTAATCGCAATTAATGGGAGCAAATTTCAGAGGGAACATTGCAAATTGAGACGATTTGACTCATCTCCTCCCTTTGATTCTAGAATTGTTTAAGCCAGATATGGGTGTTAATTAGTGAAAATTAACAAAACCTAGATATGTTAGATATGGTTAGGCTTTTACTTTCCCATCTACTTTGATCTATGTTAATCACAACATAAAGTAAGCAGGAGAACATGGATTTTTGTAGGACACATAACTGCATTGGACTTAGGGTTTAGGTTGTTATTCCCATGTATTATTTATATATTTACATTTCAATTCTATGTATATTGACTTGAAAATAAGTTCCCTTGCTTCTGATGGAAATTACTCCTGAATTATTATGTATAGAAAAAAGCTTGTATTCTTAAAGCTTAGTAATGACCAGATCAGATCAAAGCTATTAAACACCTTGCACTCCAAGCCAAAGCAAGAACAAAAACACTACAATAGTTTACATTGGTTTTAGTCAATCTTCCTTCACTGTGAATTTTTCCCCCACCTCAATACTGACTGTGCTGTACTAAAATAACAATAAAGACAAATATTGTCTTTATGCATTGATTAGTGTACATGGGCTCAAATAAATATTGATTGCCACAGAAAATCTGTCTTGGTCTACTTTGAGATAAAATGTTCCTGAATCAATATTGGTAGCACCTTGAATGGTGTGAGATGTGTGTGTGTGTGTGCGTTACGAGTGACTTGAGAAACTGCAGGTTGCTTCTGGTGTGAGAGAATTAGCTGTCTGCAAGGACGTTGCCCAGGGGACAGCCGGATGTTTGATATTTTACCATCCTGTGGGAGGCTTCTCTCATGTCTCCACATGGGGAGCTGGAGCTGACAAAGGGAACTCACCCGCTCTCCTTGGATTCAAACAGCCAACCTGTTGGTCAATGGTCCAGCCAGCACAAGGGTTTAACTCATTGTGCCTCCGGGGGAGTTGCACTCCAGAACAGGAAAAGCCCTCTGACTTTAAACACCACACCGTTGAGTAGGAAAACAATCCTTTTATTGAAGATAATTAAAAAGCAGTAAAGTAAAAAGCACTTTAAAGAAATAGGTAAATCCAATAGGTAAGAAGATAAGCAGGGACAAAGTAGTCCAGGGAAAATAGTCCAGCAAAGTCCATGAAAACAAACTCAAAACTTCTCTAATAAAATCCAAGAAGCCAGGAAACATGAGTCCAAGGCATGAATATAAAGTCATAGAATTCAAGAATCAAAACCATGAAACAAAAGGCACTTAAACATGAGTCTTTCAAGCAAAGCTTCCATGAAACAAGAACAAGATCTTGACTTGATTCCAAACGATGCTTCATCTGACTACATATCTTGTACTTGGGACTTTTATCTCCTTGTTAGCTATGTCACAAGCACTCAGAAATTGGTTTTGCTTTGCCTTAGAATCTCTTATCTTTTTCTCTCGGAGCCTGGCAGAACGCTGAAGCCACTGTTCAGCTTTTCTGTTTTGACTGATCTCCTCCCATCTATCTATTTGCTCATTAATTTCTGCACCTGATGCCGAGCTATTTTCAAGCTCCAAATAATGGGAACTCTCTGGTAGAAATCCAGGGAGCACACCATTATCCCCACACCCTTCAGGGACATTCTCATGGGAAACTAGAGTTTGAACAGGGATCTGGTCATTCTCTGCATCAATATCATTGACCAAACCATCTTGAAACTCATTGACGTCATTGAGTCCCCCTTCGGGGGGTGAAGGGCTGGGTATAAATATAGGAAATAAAATAAATCACTCTCCACATCCAAAGCATCCTGATCCTGAAACACAATTACAGGCTGAGCTCCAACAGGGAGCTCCTGTGGTGTGAGATAATGGACTACATCTCTGTATCTGAAGAGTTCGTAAAGTTCATTCCAGTAGGTTTCTCTATATCAGTTTAGGCCCTGCCCCTAAATGTTAAATTGTTTAATTTGCTTAGAAGTTATACTTTTAAAGTTTCATTTAGATACCAGACATGCAGTTGGCACTCCACATTTGTAGGTCAAACATGTAGGGGAAAACATGGGATTGGAGAAGGAGATGTGTTCAATGGAAATGTGTTTGCATTCATATCTTGTTTGTGACCAAATGTGTCATGTGGTTGACTGCTTTGTAAATAAAATACTGGACTCAGTCAGCTTTATTCTTATCGACCACAGCTCACCTCATCTCATGTTCTTGTGCTGCAAGTGGCTTCTGGTTGCTTCTGGAGTGAGAGTTTCAGCCAGGAGGTGCCCAGATGTGTTGTAATCCTGGGGGGAGGTTTCTCTCATGTCCCCCAGTGTGGGATACATCTCACCATGCTAAAATAGTAGATGTGGCTATTAATGAGGCATGCTGCAGTATCACAGGCTGTCTCCGCCCTACACCACCAGAGAAATTACACTGTTTAGCTGGTATTGCACCACTTGACATCCACCAGGAAGTAGCAGCCAATAATGAAGGGGCCAAGGCATGACATCTTCGGCCCTCCTCCTGTTTGGGTATCAGCCAGCACGCCAACGCCTTAAATCAAGAAATAGTTTTCTAAGACCTACTGAGATATTTGCAGGAACACCTCAGCAAGCGAGAGTCCAAAAGTGGCAGGCTAAAACCCGAAACCTCAATCCATAGCTGATACCAAGAGAGACTCCCCCTTGGGCATACAGAAGACTGGACAACTTGGAAGGCGCTGAATAGACTGCACCCTGGCACTACAAGATGCAGAGCCAACCTTAAGAAATGGGGCCACAAAGTGGAGTCCATGACATGCAAGTGCGAAGAACAACAAACCACAGACTACCTATTACAATGTAGCCTGAGCCCTGCCACGTGCACAATGGAGGACCAGAGGCACTCCAAGTGGTCAGCTACTGGTCAAAGGACATTTAATATAATGCCAAGTTTTTAAACTTTGTGTTTTCTCAAACACATCACAACTGTACCCTTGGTTTGTTCCTGATATGATAAATTAAATAAAAACCATTGTGTGTTTGATTGAATGCTCAACTCTAATGTATCTGGAAGAAGAATCTCTACCATTCAGATAGCATAGGTCTCAAGTTGACAGTAATGCAAAAGAGCTTATAGTGGGCAAATATAGTCTAAGCAGGCTTCTTGAAGCACTTTGGTGAGATGTCGTTCTCAAAGCATGACTTCATTTGAACTAAGAGATGGACACTGCCCATTGGCATGTACCCAAAGAAGTGTTCCTTCCAACAACCAGATTCATTTTCACTGACTCTTTGTACAAGTTGAGCCCCAGACATTTCATTTAAGTTCTTGCTTGGATTGCTCGTGCGTATAATTCCAAAGACACATAGCTTTTGTGATCATTCACAAGCATCCTTTGTTAAACTCTTTGAGGGTGACCCTTGTTAAACTGAAATGCAAAATGGCAAAGATCAAATCTAGGTCTTGTTTAATAGTTGAAGTATCCTCCTCCCCAAGGCTGTGATTCAGTCTTTTGGCCTCCTGGGTGAAAAGAAAATTTCAGAGGCAAGGCTGGCGAAGGAAAAATCCATAATGCCTTAGCGTGTTCCTTTCCCTTGTTCTTTATATCTCTGCTGTGATGCAGGAAATAAAATGATGTGAGAGCTTGTCAAAAGTTTGACTCTTGTGATAGGAAGACTGAACAGATAATGCATACCAACGTTTGGATCCAAATATAGACAAACGCAACTGGGCAATGGAGTGTACTTCTTCCCAGTCCCACTATCCTCGAGGCAACCCTCCCAATCTCCTGAAAACACTGCACAGAAGCTGAAAATCGACCTTGGAGCCAATCCCAGAAGAAATTGAGTCAATAAGTCAGCTTGGTCTATCAATCAATCAATAGTTTAAACTGTAGCATAGGATGAATTCCTGAAAACCAGGTGGAGATATCTTCCATGGATATAATCCAAAAGGCAGGCTCTGGATTCAACCTAACAAGAATAAATCCGTTCTTGCATGGTCCATACCAGTGCTTGGAAAAGTTACATTTTGGCTAATAACTCACAGAGTCCTTCGGAAAGCATAGCCAGTGATTGCGAAGATTTGGAGAGCTCTTATCCAAAACTTTGGCAATGATTTGAGATAATATATTTATTTAGCTTATTTTCCTGGTCCAGCCTCACCATTTTGTCTGTTCTAGGCAGCAACTGCAGGCAGTAATAGAGGTCTGCTCTCTGGTTGATTGAGACCAGTGGTTCTCAACCTGTGGGTCTCATGATGTTTTGGCCTTCAAGTCCCAGAAATCCTAACAGCTGGTAAACTGGCTGAGATTTCTGGGACTTGTAGCCCAAAACACCTGGGAACCCACAGGTTGAGAACCACTGATCTAGGCAGAGGAGATATGACAATCAGAAGCAAGATCCTTATTGAACTTCCGATGTGACAATCAGAAGCAAGATCTTTGTTGAACTTCCTCTTCACAAGGTTGTTCTAGGTTTTTGGGGCTATATGTGCATGTTCTAGAAGCATTCTCTCCTGACGTTTCACCTGCATGTATGTCAAGCATCCTCAGAGGTTGTGAGGTCTGTTGGAATGAAGGAACGTGAAAGGCACTGCAGACTACTTCAACAAGAGAAGTCAGCCATAGCAGAGCACCTGATGAATCAACCTGGACACAACATATTATTTGAGAACACAGAAATGCTGGACCACTCTCACAACCATCAGAAAAGCCATTGAAATCCATAAGCATGTGGACAAATTCAAAAGAAAGGAGGAAACATGAAAATGAATAAAATCTGGATACTAGTATTAAAAAAAAACCTCTAAAATTATAACAGTAAAATAACACCCAAACACAGGGGAACGGACTCTGAGCTATAAACGTTGAGCACTAGATTGTTTTTAGGGATTGTGATATATAATGGACTGTTTTAATTGTTTTAATTGTTAATTGGTTAATTACTGTTTATATGTTGAATTTGTTTACCTTGTTGTTGTGCCGGCATCGAATTGTGCCTTTTTGTAAGCCGCCCTGAGTCCCCCCTCGGGGGTTGAGAAGGGCGGGGTAGAAGTGCGAGAAATACATAAATAAATAAACTCCAGAGAGGAAACAATCAGGGATAGCTAATCATCACCTCTCAACACCATCAAATGCTACATATAGATATATACGTTTGACCATTTTGTCTAAACAACCACCTGTCCATTGACATACCCATCATATTTGAAGTGTCATAAAGCAAAACCATGTTCCCCAACAGTGCAGGACAAGATTTGCCATCATAGTTTCCCTTATATGACACCAATCTGTCGGGTTTGATTTCCCTGACGTCCTTCGGAGCTGCCTTTCTTGGCACTCCTTTTATTCTTAGAAATCTCTGGGCATGCTTGCGACCAGAATCCTCTTACTGGGAGTGAATGGGGGAGGGAGGGAACACACACACACAGAAGGATTAGTCAGGAGAGATTACTGATTAGCATGTGGCTGCTGTTTACTATGCATTGAGAAGTGCCCATAAAAGTTAGAATGGGGCGGGGGCAGAGGCGGCCCTAGGTAAGTTTCAACGGTAAGCAAACAGTATTTTGGCGCTCCCTCCCAACCAATCACTGATATATATTTTCTGTTCGTTGTGGGAGTTCTGTGTGCCATATTTGGTTCAATTCCATCATTGGTGGAGTTCAGAA